TCCTTTCTATTGTCAGCCCCTCATACGGTATTCAGCCGTTTCTAAATAGGACACTATCTAATACTATTCTCTTATTTTCTTATCTCGTTTCGAGGCATCCAACATTATATCAAGTTGTAGAGTGCAAGCGTTTTATATTGTAGACAGCCCCATTCTCTCGTTACACTAAGAGGTATTACCTCTACATTATTAAGTAGACTACCTTCCGACTTTAGTGATAATTTAGCTTAAATAAAATGTCTTTTTGCTCATAGTAGATTTCTTTTCAGTCTCTTAAGTGAACCTACTAAGAATCCATAAAACCCAGTAAGCACAGCTACCATGAAGCATATAATTGGTTTATGTTCACCTCTTTATCAGAGCAGTTATCTTTAATGAGATAGATCACATTAGTAGCTATGGTACGAAGGCATTAATATATATTCTTGCTTCCCCTCAATCAACGAAATGTTTTTATACAAAGATCCGTCAGGCATGATTGCTGGAAGATCAGCCAACCGACTTTGCAGGATTCCTTGGCAGCCCTCAAACTCTCGTTGTTCCATCCGATGTAGCTCCTATCATGCAACAGCAGCTGCTGGTCAGCCAGTTTGCTCTGAACTCAGTCTTCTTTATCTAAATAACAACCAACTGACTGAATTACCTGTCTTCGTTGGTTCTAGCGAATCAGATTTGCAGTATTTTCATCAACCAACCCCCCCTTCACACAATCCGAGTACGCCTTCGGCTACAAGACAACCTCAGGCGAGCCGGTTGGAGACGGCTGGTCGGACGTCCCCCCCGGAGGATATTTTGCACTTTATGCAGTCGTCCGGGCGTTTAGTTGGCGGGCAGATGCCCTCAGCCCCCACATTACGCATCTTGGCGCCAAGGCTGAAGCTTTTGGATGCCGGGAACAATCGGATCACGGAATTTGGTCATCCAGGTGCCTATCCCTTGCGATTGATGCGTCTCTCCTTGGCCGGCAACCTGATTCGCCATATCAACCCTATCTCCTCTCACGCAGCTTTGCCCGATGCTGCTGGACACGGCCTTCTAGGCCTTAGTGATGTTATGCAGAGCAGCTTCAGAATGCGATGCAGCAGCCAAGACTACTTTAGAGAATCCTTTGAGTAAGCCTTTACTCATATATTCTTGTAATTTACTAGCAGGAGAATATAGGCTTAGCTAGATTTCTTACTCGCTTGCAATTGTCTTATGTTTCGCGATAAACGACAAGTAAATACGTTACATGAGTTCGAATATACAATGGATCGCCGGAAACGGTCGTTAACTTGGAATGCCCCTCAGCCTTAGGCACATAGCCTCAGCTACCTTGCTATTGTACTACTTATAAGATTTATTTAAAAGACATTAAATGTCTGGACAGTTACTATTCATCCTATCACTAATCATGAAATGAAAGGCAACTATGTCCAAATTCTACTACCCGTTTTGCAGCGATACAATTTTCATATAATTCCGCATCAGTTCTATTTTTGATGGCAAATGTCCTGATAAAAGATAGTTGATCTGACTTTCGTTTCTTGTGAAAATGTGCGATGAAGATGTGCTGATTCAGTCCTTGAAATACTTCTTTTAGTCAAAATGGGCTGAGTTTTCATCCATTTTTCTATTTGAGGAACATCTTTAGAATTGAAATTCTTTATTGTATTTAAAATAGAGCTTGTTTAGAAAATTTATGATGAAATCGTGCCCAAACAACATAGTAAATAGGAGAAGTGTAAATACCCCATTCGAGTTCAACTTATTGTCTTCCGAATTAATGACAAAAACGCATTGTTGCTGGGTTGATCTTCCTCTTTACTTTCATTTTAAAAGTTGAACTCGAATGGGGTATTTGCACTTCTCATTTTTACTCCATTGTTTGGGCATGATTTCGTCATCAAACCATTGTGTTTTGGATGGTTTCTTGATTGAAATTAATTTAATAGAAGTCCCTCTTTTACCTTATCATTCTTGCTAATAGAAACTCCTATTAAAACACTTTTATTAGAGCATTCGCATTTGGGCCTGGGTTGCTTATCACACGAATTTTTAACCTGCGTTTTTCCATTTACACCCCGGTAATATCAGTTATAGCCTTAACTCTCAATCACTAACTCTTTCCTGATTGTCATTTCTTTTTCACTTTCTTCTCATCTTCACCAGCGTTCCTCAGGCTTCCATTCCTGTATCGGTCTCTACGTCTGGCCCATGGCTTAGTCCAACTTCCCCATCTGCCTTCTCTTCAGCACCCACAACCAAAGTTGCATCCCATCATTTGATCGATAGCAAACCCATCTGGTTCCCTAACCTGCTTGAGCTGGATCTGAGTGCTAACCAACTCGATCGATTTGATCCTTACGGCCTAGTCTCGGTGAATCGACATGACGGAGAAAGACCTACTAGCCTAACACAAGAAGACAATGAAACGACCGAATGCTCAACGGTCGTCAGCTCATGTACAAACAAGAAGCCTTCCGATTTACTCTTGATACCTGGTCAGCTACAACTAAATCACGGTTCTGGGAGTCGTGTACGTCTACGCCAACGAGATCCAAGTCTCCGGGTATCTCATTCGGCCTCCTGGCTGGAGTTTGGAAATCAGGCGCGTTTTATACCAAAAAATAAGTCTTTTTCTTAGACGGAGGCGATATTTAAAAATGGAAATCTCTTGCATTTAATTGGACTTTTCCAAAGGTTCGATTTTGGTTTCCATTTAGTTCTAAAGTTTTGACAGTGGGTACTGTAAAGTGCTGGAACACTTTGCTTTGGAGACGCTTTTGCTTTGACCAATGGGATTGCTGCATCCTCATAGCCCTTCGTAGCCATACTTGGCATAGACAATAGGTAATAAAAGCTTTTTGGCGAAGATTTTTTTTAGTTTGCCAATGAATGACTTTTCTTTATAGTAGCATCTGCTGCAAAAGAAACGCGAGTTCACCGGGTGCTTGTTGGAGTAGGGCAATGACCTATTAATTTGCATCAGTCACAGTTATAATATCTTCCAATAATTGGGTTGTGTAAAATTATATTGAGCTCAATAGAGAGTTTCATTTAATTGTATCCCTGCCAGCTGGCCATAAGGACTTTGAGTCCTTTATAATCGTACTACTTAAAGAATCATTATATCTTCCAGGTCAACTATGAAAAATTTTGTCCAACTCATTTCTTATGAACTACTAGCATGTGTCCTTTTTGTTATTATTTTTTATTTACATGCTTTTCTTTTTTTATTCACATCTTCTTCGTATACTAGTTAGGCCAAATTGGACAAGTGATTGAACTTACTAAACCAGATGGATGTAACATCTCGATACAAATGCTCTACACCCAGGCTCTTTTATAACTTTCGTTTTTCAGTCCCAGTATTTGCTATCCCTCTATTGCTTTGGCATATACCTAATATAAATTTATCTCTTGACTTTGCCTTCGAGCACTTTCAGACGATAGTATTTTTTATATGGCTTCAACTGCGATCCCAAAATTAGGCTACTAGATCAAATTTGACTCGCATTAGTTACCTATGCTGAAGGTGTAATTGCCGATCTACAAACTGTATTATATCGTGTTTATACAGATAACAAAACACTGGTATTTCAGCATGCTCTCTATCGGGGCGAACATCTTAACTTCATGTTTTTGTATCTTGGAGTTCCTTGTCTTGGATTTAAACCTTTAGGTCCTCTGTTTTTCAAAACATTTTCTTCTATTAATTTTTTTTATCATAAGCTTTTAAAAGTGCATTTGAAGGCCAATATGTCTTAGTCTTTATTTTGGTCGCAGTCTCCGACGTTTGGAAGTATGATAACTACTATAGTAGAGGGCGTCGAATTAAGTCGCCCTGACAACACGGCTAAGTTGCGAAAACGAAATCAGACCATATATCTAATCTTTTAGAGTTGTCACAATTATTTGTCACCTCGGTACTGAGCTAATCGGTAATGAAGCAAAACCTTGTTTGATCCATTTCTAATCTGGATTTTCTATCCAGCCAGAATTGATGATAAATTAGCGGAATTTTCACCGAGCCGATGTAATGTACTGGGCACGATCGTAGACTCAAGCTAGTTCAAAGCAGCCACTAATTTTATTGCTTTATACGATCTCTAACATTGCGCCTAATTTCTCGATTGCGACAATTTTTTTCCCAGCCTCGGAGCGCAAACTTTTAAGGTTTCTCTCGCACTA